AGTTTAATTATAAATGTTTAAATTAACTTTAAAAACGATTTAATAAAATGTCAAATTTTCATTTAATTTTGGCTTTTATTCGATGATTATTTGTTACAACAATTTTTATTTCTATTGAATATGAATTAATTGTATTAAATAATTAGTAATAATGTTACATATATTTCAATGGATTATATAATGTGCGTTAATTACCACGAGTTGACAGTAATTTACAATCAATTTTGATATTTATACAAATAGTGTAAACATAAAACTGATGTTTGAATTTAAAGTTTGTTGCATAAGCTCTTCAATTGATGGCATAATTAGATTTTTGTCAAATTAATTAAAAGGGATTTTAAAGAGGTATTTGAGAACTACTTATTTATTAGTAATATAAGTTAAATTATATAAGTATTTTGAACATAAATATAAATATATCATTGAAATAACAGTGAATATAATCTACTATAAGATTTAGATAATTAACTAAATTTTAATCAAACATTTTGAACGCTTCGGACTCTTAATGGATATAATTTCGAGAAATCTTTAAAATGTGAAAATTCGGGGAATGTTTTGAATCGGAAGACAAGTCGAGAACTTTTCATTTGATATTTGGTTTCTTTTATAGAGATAGCGATTAAACATTTGAGACCCGATTAGCAAATAATGTTGAATATGTGCTCAATTAGTTTGATATTAATGATATTTAGAAAACATTTATAGTTTAAACTGTCAATGTTTTATAATGTGGTGATAATAGTAAATTTTGTCTATTTATAAACTTTTTAAAGTAATTCAATTTCTTATCCATACATTCAAAATTAGTTAATAAACGGGTCATTACATCAGTTATTGTAAATAATTGTAAATAACATACATTTGATTTGTAAATTGATTTACATTTTACACGAAAATGTGAAATAATAGTTCTATTCGTATATTAAATAGTAATTATAACAACTAAATAGTTAATATTATAGAAATCATTTAATTGCTTGTAAAGAACAATGCATGCAATCAAATGATTATATTTCTATCAATTATTTTTAATCAATTTTTGCTATTTATTGAATTGTTTTAAATATTTATAGAAAAAGTATACTATTCAATACAATTTATACAGTAATTGCATTTAAATAATTAAAAGTATACTTACAGTTACACCGATAAGACATACACTTTGTACGCATTGTAAGACATCGACAAAATATAGCTATAATTATGTAATAGTTAACAAATGATTTCATTTAATAGTAAAAAATCAATCAAATCATGATATCATATATTCTAATTCTGGGGCTTTTGTTATACAAAATTAAATTAACATAAAATATATGCATTTATTTGAGTAAATTATTTGTGAAAATTGTCTCCTTTTTTATTATAAAGTTATTTGAAAAATCTGCAAAACCTTTCAAAATATTAATATTACTTCTGTATATGGTTTTCAAATCAAAATTAACCATACTCAAATAATATAGTCTTAATTAAAGGGAATATTGAATTTGACTGAATATCTATTTCTTATTACAATAAATCTTTGAAAATCTAACAAAATCTATAGATATTATGGCGAAAGATAATTATGATGGCTATTATATGATCATTTTGACAACAAAATCTTGTGATGATAAAACACAATATAATATCGTATTTAGTGTACAATTAAGTATATATTATTGCAATGAATGTGTTTTGTTCATTGACTTTCTTCCTTATATCCGGTCACATATCCACTGGTTTTAGGGATGTCTACGCGACCGGCTTTACCCCTTCCTTTGCCGGTCTCATCAAACCTCTGTTTGTGAGAACCCGTGTATTTGGTGTGATCTGTTAGTCGACCGACGGCTCCCGAAGTCACTGCAGTCTAACATATATAGAATATGTTAGATATAAGAATAAATATAAATTAATAAAAGTTAGTATTTATAAACTATGTAATTCTAAATTACATAATTGCTAAAATAGAAATATTTATAAATTATTTACCGTAGTTTTGGTGGTAGAGGGTGGACTACTACTCGCCAACTTTAATACAAAATTAAAATAATTAATTTAATAACAAGATTAGTGTATAGGTTTTGTGTCCACAAATGCATACCTTATGCTTAATCTCTTCGGAATCCAATTTTTTGTTTTTGGCGATGCATTCGAGGAATTGGTTGTATTCCTGTATAGACAACGATCTCTTCGTTCTGAATTCAAATTAATAAATTTGTTTCAGTAATTATTTGCTTTCGCTTTAGTTTTCTACCATTAATTTAGGATTACATTAATAGTTAGTTAATTGTAAATTCTAACGAATGAACTAATTGTTTAAAAAATGATTGAAATAAAAAATGAATGTGTGGATGAATGGATTACTTAGCGATTTGCTTGAAGTATATTCCGGTATCAACTGTAGTGATCTTTTTGCCGTCAATAACCTTCGCCTGTTTGAACCACTTATCGCTGTTCGATAGCGTAATACAATCGCCGACACCCTTCGGGTCACCGAATTTGGCGAATATTTTAAACAACTCCTCAAAGTTTGCGCCAGAGTTTGCCGGCGGAGGTGTGGCTGGCGTTGCCTTCACGGGCGCCGACTGGGCTCTGGAGGCGGTGGGCGTTGCGTTGGCCAAAGTGGTGGCATTTGTGGTCACATTAGTGCTGGCATTAGTGGCCGCTGTGGACGCTGTGGTCGATTTGCCGTTGGAGTCAATGGATTCCATCTGATATGAAGAGGTGACGAAAAACATTTTTAAGTTAGTCTTCCTTCTGATTGAATATTCTAACCGATATTTAAACATAACTTATTGGAAATGTTTTGCAAAATGATAACAAAAGTGTTCGCAAACTTTCTTAACGCAAACTAAATAAACGTTTGCCTCAAATCACGACAATTTTTACGCGTTTCACACTTTCAATGCTTTTTCAACAAATTTATTGAATTCATGTATTAAGAGTTGCAGGTGTTTAGGGTTTCGCTAATGATGTGCAAAGTCTTCATATATTTAATGGTAAGACTAATATCCAATATAATGAACACCTTTATAATAAATACCATATATGACTGCAAAATAAATTCCATTCAAAATATTTGCAATCAATGAACAAATAATTTTACGGATGATTTCTTTCTATACATTCATTGTTTGCAAATATTATATTATATTTTTAATATTGAGCTCAAGTCCGAGGGTTTGATTCAAATTATGAAAAGTTTTGTCAAAACCTTGTGTGACATTGAATTCATTTGATGACAACTTTACAAATATTGTTACTATAAATAGCTGGAGTCATATTCACATCATTAGACTATTTGTATGCAGTAATACATACAACACCTGTATTCACCATTATTTTGTCAAAAGACAACTTCAGTCAATTTTGTACAGTGCAACCTCTCTTGGGGGAACACCTCCTCTTAAGGAACGGATTTGAAATATATTCTGGATTTTCTATACCTATAACTGAACTTCCCTTGGAGAAATCCTCTCTATAAGAAACACTCTGGCTATATTCCCGTGTTGCTGTTCCACCGCTCTTTATGGAGAGGTTGCACTGTATAACAATTAGTATAAGAATTCATTGCTATTAATTTATAACCATTGTAAAAGTAAAATCTTTATACATTTGTTGATTAAAAAATTATTATTAAAACTTTGAATAATATTCGTTGTTAGAAATGTTGAATATCAAAGTTAGTATCAATTTGTATGCATTTTGGGCGTAAAATGCCATAAAACTAATGTTTTTGTTATAAGATGAATAGGGGATACAATTGCTGATTATTTGTTGCTTTTAATAATTTG